TGGTCATTTTTTGAAGGTATTGTATTAAAATTTCCGCTCAAATCCATCTGCAAACCGTTTTCAAAAGTGTTGAGTGTTGTTTCGCAGCCAACTACACCGATTAATGTAAACACGTGATATCGGACCGAGCTTCGTGGTCTGAAATAGTTTCACAACAACACAGATATTGGATGAGAGCAGCAGAGCATTGTTAAGTTGAACACGCACAAAAAATATTTACTGCATTCTGAGCATGAAATTAGACAATGATGCAAACATAATCCCTTAGAAAAGTTGAATTTACCGAATAATATCATATCTGGAAATGTTAGAGAAACCTTTTGTGTATAAATGAAAACTTTCATGAGCGTAAAACATGCCGTCTTCGGCTTCGCTTTCAATGCGTTTTTGTTGCGTTTTTGTCGTTCTGCGTTGCGAAAACTTACGGAAAACGCTAAGAAAACGTATGTGTGAAAAGCGTCCCTACCAATACCTTTTAGAATTTGTTTGCATCGAGTAAGTATTATTTGTTCTTAGGCAAAGTTTGAAGGAAAAACAGCAGAAAAAAACGTATGATAAAAACTGACGTCTCAAGTGCAATCATTTGGTGAATATTTTGAAGTGTCGACGGGTATAAGTACCTAACGAGAACCGTGAGAAATACCAATAAAATTAGATAAGAACTTGCGAAGAATACAAAAAGCAATTCATGTTTTTTTCACCTTGGTGAATAAGTAGTTGAATTTATATTGCCAGTAATTGCAAAAAATACAAGAAAATTAACAATCAAACTCGAATTATAGTGGAATATTACTGTGGTGTAGAGTTTAATTTGATATAATTTGCATTTTTATTGAAACAATTTTGTAATCTATGGACGCACAAGTAGGACGGATGAGCACACGCGCATTTCAAACTAGAAAGAAGTGACTTCTTTCATGCATTTTTTTAGTTGTCTCGTATATGAATCTACGACTAAAGATAATAGATAAGCATAAACATTTCTTGGAAAACATGCTCTTGTACGCTGCGTGGGTTTAATAAAACGTTGAAACAAAAGCCTTCTAAGTTTAGATGAATCTTCCAGAATTTTCACAACTTTTTCCAAAACGATCATAACAATTGTAGGCGACTTCAGATCTCGCAAGTACAGTTTTGAAGCAGTTAAGAAACCACAGTCTGTTGTAGCTAGAATTCCACTTTTTTTAGTCATTGTGATTTATATGTGAACTCTGATTAATACCATAAGTAACCTCATTAGCTTTTTTTTT